TTTACCATGAAAGCAAAAGATGGTAACTTCCTGTTACTGCTAGTCACTGAGAATGTCACCAATCCTCGTTAGTTTTATTAACTCTTTTCGAAATCTGTTAATTATGGTATATTCAATTAAACCCTTTAGGTATGCCATCTGATTCTAATTGGAATCCTGTCTATTTCTGGAAAATAAAGAAAAAGATTTTTTTTTTTTTAAGAAACTCACTGCCTTAGAGGAAAACTAATCAATCATCAGGCACAAAACTTCTGTGAAATTGAAAAACATATAACTTGGGACCAGCAGTTAGCATAATGGCTATGTCGCTGGACTCCCATGTAGTCGACCACGGTTCGAGTCCCAGACCCGGTGGCTTAGAACTCACGCAGGGAGCGTGTGCGTGTGTGCCCAAGATCCCGAGAGGAGAATGGAGGAGAAGGGATTGTGGCGTGGCCATGCCCTCTTGGGGGTGATTTCTCGCTTTCTATCTCTCTGTCTCTCTCTGTGTTTCTGGTGAGTGTGTGCGCCCAATAAGAAAAAACTTCTCAAAAAATTAAAAAAAAAAAAAAGAAAAACATATAACTTGAACTAGTCACAAAACTGCACATTTAAGTTATAGTTTGAAAATATGAGCTAGAAAGGTTGTAAACAATTGCTATGACAACCATTTAAATGAATGATCATAGAATGAGACCTACTTAAATTTTACCTTAAAATTCAATGAAACTCAGGACAATCTATTATTTAAAAATTTTCCATTGGAGATGGATTATTTTAAGTATATGATTCAACAAAATTCTATTCTTAAAAATAAAATGGACAGGGATAGAGAAATACTTTGCAGATCAACAGCTTACCTCTTTAAACTTGTGACTAAGCTTGGTCGTATCCAGGTCTGATGGGGAAAACATGTCCTCATTCTCAGGAAGCTCAAAGACTTCTATGGCCATGTCACCGCCAGGAAGTACAGGTCCTACCTCATCCTCTTCTTCATCAGTAGCATATTCTCCTGTCTGAAAGGAAGGGATTTCAAAATTCCAGCTATTTTTGCCCCAGGCATAGGTGGGTTATTTGAAAATATTTTATGACAGAGAAATAAAATGTATCGCCAAATTGTAAAAGTGTAAGATGGCCTTAAGTCAAGCATGCTTCATGCAGCCAATGTTATAAGCAAATGTTAGTTCGAAGATCCAAAGTGTCAAGCCTACGACATCTGAAAGTGCATTCCTAAACATCTAATCATATCAGTACCATCTTTAGTAAAGTAAGAGTTGTGTTTTTTAATCTAAGTAACAGACAGTTTTATTACATAAACTTATGTTGTCAGAGGAAATAAGTTATTTCTTCAAATTCCCAGCATCTGTGTGAATAACCAGCCTGAAACTGGAGCAAGTAAAAAGGAAGGGGAGCCTAAAGATTCCAAGAGTTGGAGGACCCGTAGGTGGCGTGGTGGTTAACCTCCAAACTACTTTAATAAATCTGAGTATCTGTTCAATATGGAAGAAAGATTTCACATAAAACTCTAGATATTCAGCTTTTCTTGAGAAAGCCAAGAACTGTCAATCTAGGCACATGTCTATCTAGGCATAATAACAGTTGGCCAGAGTGAAAGCTGTTGGCCACTTAGTGGTACATAGGCTTTGTAACAAAATGTCCTTGACTCCATAGTGCTCTGCTGTTAGATTCACTCATTTATAATACCTGCCAGCCCCTGTGGGCATCTGCGTTCATGACTCCTGTAATAAATGTCTTTTTTGCCACCGAATTCCTTAACATTTTTTTAGAAAGTAGCTGCTCTTCTGGCAGTATCAGGCTGTGAAACTGTAACTCAAAATAATTACTTAACATCTACACCTTATCGGGGACAACAGTTGGCATGGTGGTTAAAGGCGCTGGACTCCCACATGGCTAACTGTGATTCGAGTCCCATACCTGGCAGCTTGCCTTCTCACTTTCCCTTTATTTCTCTCTCTCTTTCTCTCTCTGTCAAATTAAAATAAATAAAGTTAAATAAAGTAATTATTTAAAAAAAATCTATGACTTATCATATAAGTTAAAGATAAATCACTGATTCTCAGGGTTAAAAAAATACATTTTATTTACCACCGTTCTTTTGGAGACTTTATCTAATACATAAAACACAAATAGGAATTCATATTGCCTTTAAAAATAAACTTTCATAAACACTGGACTAATGATTTATCCCTTTGATTAAATAAGTTTAGCAACTGATCACTGTTTTTCTTCTGGTTCTGTACTGTATTCTTTCTGCTAAAGTCAAAACACGTATTCCCAACCCCACCATCACCTTTTTTTTTTCCTAAGATTTTTACCATAGGACAAGTGTACCGGCCAAACAGAGAGAGAAAGAGAGAGAGAGAGAGAGAGTAATAAATCCCTCCCCAGGAAGGATGGTCACACTGCAATCCCTCCTCTATTCCCCTGGGGTTTGAAGCATGCACACACATGTGCCTGGCATGATTTTCATGCTGCTGGGTCCAGGACTTGAACTATGGTTGGCCATATGGGAGTCCAGTTCCTTAACCACCATGCCACTTGCTGGTCTCCCACCACCTTTAAAAAATTATGTTTGTACATGAAGAAAATCTGGCCATTAATCTCAATGTAACAGTCCTTAATGTCTGGAAGACCACTATTAAATTACCTTAGATTTCTCTTTTTCAAACAAATAATGCAATTAATGCAAGACAGATGTTGAGTGATGTATAAGGCCACTGCCAGCGTAACAGCTCATGCTCTTTTTCAAATAAAATAATTCCACCTGGGTCATCGGAAAAGTCATGATAGATATCGGCATAGAAAAACATGTCACGACTTTTCCTACAGCCCGATGGTTTCCCCAACAAGTCTATAAATCTCTTTGTCCTTATCTTTATGGTAATACTTTGACTTCTCTTAAGTTCTCCACATTTCTCCAGGTTGTGACATGCAGAATGAAACACAATTCCTAGTAAGGAATCTATGGGCCACTGACCTCAGTGAACAGATTAGATTATCTCAACGTCCTTCAGACCCTGCTTCCCCACACAGAAGCTATTATCATGAAGACCTTGATTTTAGAGACATTTGTGTATAAATGCTGGCTCAAGATATTTCGTGCAGGGCAATGATTTTTCCAAACAAGGTTTCAGGATAGTTGGAATCTTTTTCCCCCACAAAATAAAAAGCTGCGACTAAAAGAAAAAAAGAGGCTAGCTGCTTCCATCTTGATACTACATAGCTCCCCTGTACCTGGAACACCAAGACTCTGAAATCTGAAATGTCTAAACTGTAAATATCATTCCAAGGATCTCTGGCAGCCGCAGGGAAAGGCAGCTAAAGAATGAGGGCTGGTCAGTTCCAGATAGCTTCTGTTTGTTAGTACAATGAGATCCTACAAATCTTAAAAGGCCTCCAATTCCAGATCGGTATTTGTGTGTGTGTGTGTGTGTGTGTGTGTGTGTATGTGTGTGTGTGGTATTCTATCTATCTCCTGTCTCCTGTCTGTATATATTTTTAGAGCCAATGGGTACTTTGTAAATGCCAGAGATGTTCATTAACAGAAACATAACAAGGTTGGTAAATAAACTGTCTGATGGAAGTTTTCATAGAGAAGTACACAATTTTGTAATTGTTTTTAACCCTATAATAACAACCAGTAGCAAAGCCAAGCCATTATTATAAAGGTCTAAACCAGGTATATAAAATTCAGTTCCATATAATCAATTTGATGAACAGCATGAATGACTCAATAAAATTTTAAGCTAAATTTAAAGTCTGACTAAGCTATAAAAATATGGCATATTTTTAACAGGAGCTGAAATGAACAATTTTATTTCCTTTTGCCACCTTGAAAATACTGTTCACTTTGTGTGAGAGAGTTAATACAAATATATGTCTAAAATGGGGTGCGACATATTACAGGATCCCAACAATTTAAAAATAATAAATTAAAGAATGCCAATTGAATTTAATTGATAATAACTACAACTTCTTAAGAAGGCTTTTCAATAATATGGAGAGAACGAACTGCAGTCATTTGTTAAGAAAGTAGCATTTTGTCATACACATCTTTAATATCTTTACAGTGAATAACAGAATTAGAATATATACAAAACATGTAACTCTTACATAGCTCTGGCTTTGTCATCCAGATGTACTTTAATTATAAAAATTACCTTCATAAATGTACATTATAAATAATAATTCTTGATTCTGTTATTGTTTGGCTTTACCAGCCTCTTCTCCTTCTGAATATCATATGACCTGCAACCCTGCTGAAATTATTATCATTTCATCTTGCCATTTACTCATATTTTCTCTGCAATTAGCCTTTTGTCCTAACAACAAAAATAGGTCTTTTACTGTCTTGAGTCCACTTTTTACTTATTTTATGCTATGGAAAGATGAAATGATAATTTTTTTTTTATGCTATGGAAATAGTGTAAAAAAAATGTCCAGCTGTGGAGCCAGCAGGTGATGTGGTGGTGAAGTTACTTAATTCCCAATGGCCAGCCATGGTTCAAGCCTTAAACCTAGCACCTTGAAAATCACACTGGGCACCATGTACATGCATGTCCCAAATCCCAAGAACAGAGTGAAGGAGAAGGGACTGCAGTGTGGCCATCCCTCCTGGGGAAGATTTCTCACTTTTCCTCTCTCTCTGTCTCTCCAGCAAGAGCGAGCACCCTACAGCGACAACCTAAAAACAAATAAAAAATTTTTTAAAGGTCCAGTTTTCATTCTCTTTGCTGCTCATTTGCCATTCCTACACTATGTAGGCTTCAGAATAAAGGATGCAGTTATCACAGAACCTCATAAACATGTGGAAATTTTATAAATTACATTTAGTAAAATAAGAATAATAGGTTCTTTTGGTTCTTTTATCTTTATTGAAAATAGAAATTATTTTTATGGTTACTATGTAAGTAAAAAAATGACATGGAATAATACATTAGCAGAATGTTGTAAAGCTCAAAATTATAGAGTGGATTAAATCTGACATTACAGAGGAAGATAGACAATATTGTAAAAAAAAAAAAAGTTGTTATGACAAAGTATTTCCATTGGTAGTCAGCTCCTTTTTCTTTTTCGGAGAGATTTTCACTGTAGGGCGCGTGCGCTCGCCAGACAGACAGAGAGAGACATAGAGACAGAAAGCGAGAAATCACCCCCCAGGGGGGATGGTCACGCCGCAATCCCTTCTCCTCCATTCTCCTCTCGGGATCTTGGGCACGCCCGCACACGCGCCCGGCGTGAGTTTTAAGCCACCGGGTCCGGGACACGAACCGCGGTTGACTACGTGGGAGTCCAGCGACATAGCCATTACGCTAACTGCTGGTTCCCAGCTCCTTTTTCTATTCCTGATCCAATTCAGAATCTTTCAAGTAACCAGAGACTCTCAAAATTCCTTGTCCCATTCCACAAATCCACTCAAAATGTGTCATACATAGTTGTTAGGGTATTTTTGTCCCATGTCTTTGTCAACCTTCTTGATGCCCCATAAAAAGTGGCAAAAAAAAAAAAAAAGTAAACAGCAATCCTTTTGCAACTTACTGTGTGCCCAGAACATTTCTCAACAACTTTCTGATATGGGTGCTACTGTGCTATTTAATTAGTGGACTTTACCCAAGGTGAGACACTTCATTAAGTTGTTGAAGCTACATCTAACCCACTCTGAAAGCCCATGGACCTTCTTCTATGCTATGCTGGTTCTACTGTACAGAAACTAAAGTTCTGCAGAGGGAAAAATACATCAAGAATATATTCCTTTTATATTTCCCCAGCCTAAAACACTGATGCATAAATAACTGTTGTGTCGTGTCAGGATTCACCTTATATAACTTTGAATGCCCATGTCTACTAGACTCTAAAGTCCTTGTCCTTTCTCTTCTCTCATGCTTGCCCTGGGCAGGGTGTAGAAGTCCCCTTCAAAAAGATGGGAATAGTAATTGGTGAGTTAATTGCAACAGAAAGAGAAAAATGATTGAAAAATCAAAACATGTTCACACAC